TGACAGCTAACATAATTGAAAACTAAACACTGAAAATAGGATACAGTAAAAATGGGATGAATGGGATGAAAACCATGAGATTATATATATTAGAGACTTAGAAGATGATGATGAAAGATAAGTATAATCAAGGTTTCATTGAAATAATGTATTGGCCATTGTTAGACCACGATTAGAGACTCGGAGGCACTGAACTGCCGTTTCGTCCTAGTATGAGATTCATCAGTCGTGCATATCCACAAACTCCGCTAGCCGGATTCAAACCTGAGTTCTTCGGTCTTACGTGCGAATAACACTTAGCCTCCAGACAACTGGGCCAGAATACAACGAACGGTGTTAGTAATCTAACTTCAATCAATCCTTGGTATTGTAGAACTTCTTCGATGGGTAACTGCCTCACATCCAACAAGATTCACCTAAACTGGTTATTATAACTTTTCGATAAATGCATGATAATTTTCAGTAAAAGGTTGAATCTTTGATGTCACTGAGTCATTAATATTAATTATTGTTATTAACATTATTATGACCATGAACCTAGATAAAATCATACTTACAAAGTTTTATAAAATAACCAATGAAGACTATGTGTTTGATAACTGAAAGTAACCAACCACAACTGATTAAAGATTGTGCTGAAGTGACAATTCCATGAAATGTTCATTAGTCAGTGGTGAATAAATAAAAAAATGTGTAACAATAAAATTATATTCATAACACAGATATGAAGATGGTTGCTTTTCATTGAAAATCATGAATCGATCATTTCGCTCACTAGTGACCAGCACCGTGAAGAAATTGTTGCAACCCCCTAGTGAGAAGTCTTGATCATTGACGTTCAACCTTGTCAAATGTAACCAGTTAGCGAAATCAATGGGTGAGGTTCCGCAATAACTTAGACTGATGGAAGATACACATTAACACCGTTGAATACTGACCGGCTCAGTAGTCTGGAAGTTGAGCGTTTGTGCTCAAGACCGGAGGTCCTGGGTCCGAATCTTTTGGGTGGTAGGAGTCGTGGATGAGAATTACTGGTGACACCTATACTAGGACTAAGCGGCCGTTCAGTGCTTTTTTCTACTGGGGGACTAACAATCATTGATTCATGACTTCCAATTCAAATGCTGATTAATCAATGAAGTTTCCACTTTCTTGAATTAACGTAATGAATTCTATTAAATGAAATCCTCCTGTATAATAGCTAATTTGAAAAATTGATATCAATGTCAATAAACGAAGACTTCAAGACCCAATTAGAATAACAGTGTATTTTTGAAAGACAAAGTTTACTAGCTAAACTTGTACATTTCATCTACAGACATCTATTTACATAACAAAAAGTTATCTTCTCTCATATACCTTCTAATCTTCAAAACACTTTATTCACACCACATATTTAGATCTGACATTCCTATCAACTAGTAACTTCCAAGTGACATTTCTCTATATGCTACTTATATATAAGCCATGTTGCAAGCAGTACTCACTACACATTGGGATGGTCAGTTTTAATTTTAGTTGAGAAGAAATTGTTAGAAATTTGACAGTTGAATACTTTTCAGTAGCTCATTCCTGAAAAGATTAATATGTTCTGATACACTACTTGGCTAATCACATATAGATCTGATAAGATGTGAGTTATGCTATTGGTCTTTATTTGTTTCTGGTTGAATAAATATACTTTATTGGTTGAAAATGTGGCCCAATCTTTTCAGCGATGTATAAATGTGAATATACGTATTGTTGAATGAGTTGAGCTCATATTTTCAATTCAGTTAACCGATAAAAGCTCCCACTCACGCTTGGTTTTCTCCCTTAAATAAATGGTTTAAGCACTTGTAGTGCCTCTATATATATTCCAGTTCGCTAACATTTAATTTGGTTAAGTCCTTATTTATTTAACCAAGCTAATTGTAAAACAATAACTTATATGTACCATTGGCTTTTATTATTGTGTGGTTTGTATGAGCTTATACGACTGAGAGCATTGCTTACGCCTACGCGCTGACTCATCCTTTTCGCTTTAATGTCAATCTCTTAATAGCCTTATGAACTCACATGACTTGTCTCGCTTGCTTTTGACCTTGTCAGTCATTCGTCGCTTTTATACAAGTCTGTGTATGCCTAATTCGCTTATCGAATGTCTGTCTTATTTTTGTCTGACTATATATTCTTAGTCATGATCTATATCTAGGAGTTGTCTCAAAAGCCTTCTCCAGTTCGCGTTGCTTCATTCGTCTTATTCACTGCTTCTCCGCTACGAGATCATCTGATTTATAAACCGTCAGACGCTACTTAGTGACGATCGTCTGGACGAGTTAATTACCGAGCTTAAGAGCACGCAGAAAATAGACACACCACACACTCACTTAAAAAGCGTAGATATTACTAATAAACCCAGGTAAGAGAGTAAACAGTCATGTGAGAAACGGTTCATGGCTTTGCTTTTTTAAGCGGCACATACTCTATTCTAAATACCTACGACAGAAAGAAATTCATGTAACTAGCTAATAAGTAGAATATAAATAGATACGAAAGAAGTATTTTTAGAAAAATTTTGGGTCCTGAAAAAACTCAAAAAATTAACGGTATTTTTAAAGTACCTTAATCACAGGTATATTTCTTCCATACATTACACATGGAGTTTATCAGTTTGATGTCTACTGACATTCAATTAAAAATTAAGCCTGACCAGTAATCAAACTTACAATTCATTTTTCAGTGTTTATCAACTTCTTTATAGTTGATACCATTGAACTGATCAGTGTTCAACGCGTTAGTTACACTAGCTGACTCCATTTTTTTGTGCGGACTATACTATCAAGGTGTTTAAGTGATTGGAGTGTTATAAATAAAGAACGGAAATATCTGAAGGAATGTTGAGTCTTGGAATTAATTAAACAACTGGATTGTATATGTATTCCTTGTATGCTGCTGAACTGTGGATTGATTAACTCATTAAAACTATTGTCATGTGATTTATTATTCCTAATCTGTTGATAGTTTATCATTCCACAGTCTCTCTCTCTCCTATTCCAAGCCACTTTCTGACCTGTTCATGTTATTATTCATTTATTGTTAGCAAACACCTTTTTGAAAAATTCGATTTAATTGGATTACTGGAGTTTGTTTACAAACTTCTAGAATCAACTAGTCGGGTAAGGAGAGAACTCTGAACTAATTGGAACTTAGCCGTTAATTAGATGTTTGAGCGCGTAACCGGTGTTTTTTTTTATCTGGGTCACGTGATAATGAAAAAACGGTAACCGATACACAACATTTAACTGCTTTCGGGGATGGATTAATGATAACATGAAATAGTGAAGAAAATTTGTTAACTCCAGTGAATTCATTATGGTGCAGTCTCGTCTGGTGAACTGGATGTTTTCCTTGTGGAGGAACAACAAAAACAATCTTGATGATGGTATTTAAAAGAACCATTCTAATATTCAATAATAATTATGAATTTATTTCAACAAAAACTCTTCAGTCATTCATTCATATACACTCTAGAAAAAGTAGATTACACATTCATGAACAACACGTTACAGATTTGTGCAAGAAAAACTAAATTAAATTGACAAATTTTTTTACGCCGTTTGTGTAATATGTGTAATATGGTAAAATTAAACAGATGAGAGAACATGGCGGGATTCAAAATTTTTTTCTGTCTTTTAACACTTTGATTTTAATCCAAATATTAGACATTGTACACTCTTTTGTTTAAATGACATTTCCTCATTAAATATGTATGAATGTATGTATGTATTTATATAGTATTGTGTATTTGTTTTATAAAATTAATTCGTATTTTATTTTTAAAGAATATTTTATAACTTTTATGCTGATTTATTTTTTGAAAAAAAAAAACTTGAATAAATCCATAAGTAAGTAGTATAATAGTCATCCCTCCTTTTAAAAATTATTATTATTTCGGCGACATAAAAATGACGTGAGATAAATGATTTATGATGAATTCATGTACAACGTGATGTAGATAAAAATGATTGTGAAAATAGTAAGATTTTAATGGATCGATAGAAAAAAGAAACTGTTGAAGTGTTTGAAATTTAAAAAAGAGATTTTTTTGCGTTTATATACTACTCATAAGTGTCATACATAATACAGCTTAAGGTTGCAAGAATGAATTCCACCTGTAGAAACTTCACAAGTATAGAAATCCAAATGACTACTTTAAAAAAATGGTTTAGGGTGATACTGAGAAAGTGAGAGGATGGAAGATTAATGAAGAAAGCTTAAGCTGTATTGTTGGATACGGAAGCTACACTCAATTGAGTAAGAAGACTAATTTGAAAACAAATGAGTGTATAGGGACACTAGGATCCTAAGAGAATCGATGAAAGAAATATGCACCCTAAGTAAATTTCTAGTTACCTTGGCTCTGTATCCATCGACATAATTTGAAAATTTCATATGAAATAGAACCCCAACTCAAAGATTTTTGAAGTAACCCCCGCATATAATTAACGCTTTCGACATGATTGTTCGAGTAATATTTCAGCTCAGTAAGAAAATGTTCTCTGTGTCATGCATATCAACGATATTTACAATTACTTATCAAAGTCCGATTCGCATCAACAAAGATTATAATTTCTTGTTTTTTCATTGAATATTCTGTCTATTTATACTACTAATTATACTACCAAAAATGTACTCAATAAATATAATTTAAGTAGTATATTCCTAAGCACTGACTTGTAAAAAGCTAAATTTCGATTATGTTTCAGTATATTTGTGTGTAATGAAAGAAAACTAAAAATAATTTCACCAAATATTCAATAGTGAATGGTTTACTTACAAAAATATTCTTCAATATTCATAAACTCACATATTTGGAACGAAAACGAATCATGAATGTTATTAGCATTTACACAAACTACTCGTATAAGTTAATAGTAATATATATTGTATTAGAACAATTCCAAAAATTTGGAAAAGAGGAAACAAAAACTCAACATTTAAAATCATTATCAACTTACATTGATGAGTACAGTTAATGGGGATATTCCATCCTTTGATAAATTGCATGCTGTTAAATTGAGCGTTGAAATATTTGGAACAAAACGTAAGACGAGGCAAAGTTCTTCAAAGAAATTTCAACACACAGCACAACAATTAAACAACTTATGTTTATGAGAAAATGACTTATATTGTTCGCAAATAATAATAGTTGAACAATCATTTCAAATTTGTTAAGAAACTCCTTCAAATTTTATTGACTTTGTAACCGATTCAAATTATAGATATTCGCTTTAAATTACAACAACAACAAAAAACTATATACTTCAGTCTCAATGCGATAAGTATTTCATGTTATAGGCATAACTTGTTATATATTATTGAAGATATCTAGCTGAATTCACTAGCTTTTATTTATCTTGAGCAAGATCGTGTAAAAAATTCATGTTATATATTCTGTCATTTTATTCCTTAGAATCTCCTCCTTGAGCCCTTATAGGGTTTCAGCCAGTCCCAAGTCACGGGATAAAGGTGGGTCGGGCATGGGATTAGGTGTGCCATCCCATAAGGAAGCGATTCATTGAAAAATGGTAATTAGAACAAATAATTCAGACCTTTTGAACTCTGTCCTTGGAGTTGTAAGGTCTTCATTTCAAAGAGTTATTACACTTCATGATGAAATATTTGAGTTTCTTCGGAAGTCATGAGGCAGAGCAACAATTAGAAATAATAAGTATGCTCCCAAGAGATTTGATATCTTGACTGATTACATTTACAGTTGATAATACTAAATGTTATTCGCCATGTCCATTCTCAATGGCCAATCACATCTTGCTTTTCTTAGGCATAATATTGCAACTAGTTAAATTTATGATAAGATCTAGTTACTAAATTTCTGAAGAAAAATGAATAATCAGTTTTATCATCCTTCTCAATCGTTACGTTTATTTAAGAAAGAGAAGATACTAGTTTTAAACGTTCCAACCCTGTTGAGGAGGTATTTACACACCAAAGACAGTGGGTAAGGCTATGCAATACCTTGGACTAATTAGGGTTAAACATTAACACCATTGTGTCCCTGTTCAGTGGTTTAGAGATAAGCTTTCGCGCGGAAGACCGAAGATCCGATTCGCATGCATGGGGATTGTGGGTATGTACTGCTGACGAGCCCCACACTAAGACGAAATGGTCATCCTATGCTTCTAGGTTTCTAATGGTGGTCTAACAATGATCAGTTTATGATTTCGAAGAAATAAATAGGGTGAAGTTAGCACACAAGATATAATATAAAAAAATGGTATGTTAATTATACATTAAACGGCTAGACATTTCTCATTACTAAGATTTTCATGCTATTTTTCCTGAACTTTCTTGTTACAATGAGATAAATTGAAGAAAATGGAAATTTCAGACAGCTAGTCAGTTTTATTTAGAACATCTAGAATGTGGCTAGCAGTAGAGGCCAGAACTAGCATTTCGTTCTGTTAGGGACTCGTCAGCTAGATGTGCTTGCATCTCAGAATTGATGATCACTCAGATACTTAAACCTGGTACCGTTTGCATCAAATGTCATAGCGTTTTTCCACTTGGCTATTTAGTCCAGATAGCTTGCGCTCACTGTTTGCAGCAAACATAAGATTTGAAATGATTTTTTGAATTAACCTGTTGATGATGTTTTCGACTGAAATTTGCTCACTTTTGGTTAGCATATGTGCATTTTGTGCGGAATACCTTGAAATTGCTACTATGATGCAAGTTTATACATACAGAATAGAATCTCGAATTGAACATTAATTTTAAGATACAAATGAATCCATCTGATGATTCTTGAACAGGACGAAACATGCGTCTTATATTCTACTAGTAGCCACATTGTAGCTATTCTATATAAACTTGTGTTTTAATGGCTATATAAAGGCAATCCGTATTAAATGCCTATATGCCAACCAAGACTGATCGAATTTCAGTCGAAAACATTAACAACGCGATGATCCAAAAACGATTTAAAATTGAATTTCATTGGTCCCTTTGATTAACTTCGATAATGAAATGAGAAGACGAAGATTATGAGCATTATCAGGCAATAATCTGACCATACATAAATTTGTTATTAAAATTTATAAATAAATAGATATTCTAAACAAAGAAACGAAGATAATGAAGAAAGCTATGTGAAACTCAATGTAGCATAATTGACAAATTGAGCTAATCAAAACTGACCTAGTGAGAAGGACATTTGTTGACCTTCAGAAGATCGCCTAAAGGACGAATGCATATGATTGGTCAATAAATGGTTTCCTTTTATAATCTGATGGAATATATAGATGGGCGAGTATTTCTTCATATCATCATTCGATAGCTAAATAGCCTTTCTCACTCAAGTAACCAATATTAAGGAGTCGGTGGGTCCCTAAATTTTTCTTTTCTGTCAGTTTAGGAACTTCAAATTATGACCATTGTCTCTCATCAATCATTTTGTCAGTGGCTTTACTTCTTCCTGAGTTTTATCGTTTGTGTGAATGCGATCTAAATAAATATGTGGATTCAATAATTTTAAATCGTATAATTATGAAGATCCTTGTGTTTACAATGAAATCGTGAAGCAGTCATCGTTAGACCGTCATCAGAAATCTGAAAGCATTGGATGGCTGTTTCAAACTGCTATGAGACTCGTCAACAGTGTGCACTCACGAAATTAACACTAATGAATGCTTACTCAGTGGTCATGAGACTGAAGGTCCTGGGTTCAACTCCTGTGAGTAGTGGGAGTCATGGACCGGCACAGATGACAAGTCCCATACCAGGACGAAACGGCTGTTCACTGCTTCCGGGCTCCTAATGGCGGTCTGACGAGGATTGATTCACTACTTCAATGTAAAATTAAATAATTCACAGAATGTCTTTTTTTCTGAAAAACAATGTGATTTACCTTTAAGACCATCATCGTTTATGGAGGAACCTTCAAATGATAAATGTTTCAATGTACGATTTTTTTTAATACCCTAAAGAGAACATTTAAAAAAATCCAGAAAAACATGAAATATTTCATTGAATTAAAAATTATTATTTTTTTAAATCAAGAGTTTTATTCATATCACTAGTATACATGTCCTTGCTGGACTGATAGATACTACAAAAAGATACAGCTTACATGTAAGTGTAAACTACTTGGTTCTGGTTTATATGATTATCGGTAACCAAAAGTTGTAGAGATTGGCTGAAATAGTTCATAAATAGCTGCAATAATGCAAACCATTCGTTTGTTGACTTCGTTTGTATTTACTCTGTATACACACTGCTAAAGAATCCTGGAATTTGATGAATGATATTTGTTTGACACTGCTCCGTTATAGGCAGCTTTTCATCTGTTCTCATTCAACCAATGATGAAGAATATATATGTAAATAGGTAACTTTCTGCAAACCTATCGCATGAGCTTAACGCATTTATCATTATCGTGTTCACCTTTTTAATGACTCGGTTTAAGATCATTGTATGTTATAAGTATCTCTAAATCTTTGTCCTCACTATGATTAAATAGTTCTCACAACTTTTAGTTCAGTCAACTCTTTACTGGATAAATTTATTATACGAAGATATGATACAGTACTATATAGTGAATTGTCATTTTGAATGTAGTGAACTCATTTTATTTTTGTATTAATTTTACTACTTAATTTATTTTTAGTAGATAAAATATTCCTAGTTCCCTAGTTTCAGCGGTGACTCGACTCCACCCGTAGCCTTTCTAGGGTTGCTGCCGGTCCCAAGGTTAGGTAAATGAGGAGGGTTGGACCACATTCTTCTGAGGACTAACTGGCTAAAAAAATGACAACCTGAAAAAATAATTCAGATCATTTTAACTCTGCCTTGCGATTTGGATAGTCTTCCTTCAGAAGAGTTTTCATGCCTCATTATGAAAGCCGAGTTTCTTCAGAAGTTACGATACCTATACCCTTTCTGACAATCACAGCAACCATCAAAATAGGTTTTTGGAATGTTCAAACAATGTAGTAGTCCGGAAGAACTATCCAAGTTGATGCGGAAATGAAAAGATACAACCTGATGTTGTTAGGAATAAATGAAACGTATTGGAGGCAGACTGAAAAAAAGGAAGAAAATACCTCACATCTACACACAAGGAGTTGCACTTATTCTGTCGAAAGACTTATAAAAACCACTTATAGGTTAAGAATCTCACGGAGCCAGGATCATCAAAGCATCCTTTAAGACAAGGAAAGGAGGAATAAACGATGAATGTTATTCAATGCGAACGGCTGAAATGGGTTTATTACATTTCAAGTAATTTGTTAAACTAGTACACAATTATATTAATAGGTGTCTGGTGGAAATTAGATTATAGGTAAAAACTCATTCTTCAATCATTCGAAACTTTATTGTTAGAACTGATCTTTGGGTAGTGAGTGTATCACCGATTGCGTATTCCAAATAAAAACTTGACTGAAATTGATTATTAAAGCGTCATTTTACGAGCAAAACTACAGATTATAAACCAAAATATAAAACTGATTATGTATGATACAGTGGGTAAAATTAAACGACAAGTCTTTGGATCCTACTGGAAATCAATCAGCAATACACAGATGGAGAACTTTTTTTATTTACTTAATAACTTACACCTATTAACCCTAACAGAGCATAGGCCACTGGTCATTTCTGATTACCGATTTTATGCAAGTTGGCTTTCTACGAGAGATAGTGTCATTAACCCGAAGCCCAAACCTCCTCCTTTATCCGAGCTTTGGACCGGTAGTGTAATCCTAGGAGGGAGGAGTTGTATCATCTTTATTTCATGGTTTAGAAACCATTTTTAACTTAGATAAGCCTACATCTTTTTCTGTGGGTGTGTATGTGTGACAAATGTATCTTTTTTATAGTGTTTCTCATCCACTTTCTTTCTTGTTGTAACGGTTGCTTACGATATTTCCCGGCTAAATCTTATTGCTTAGTATTCTTGACGCAAGACACTGGACAAGTAACACAAATCAAAACACGGTTGAACAGGAAGGATTGTATTCCAAAATAGCAAGGAAAAGAAGCTGGAGGTGATGGCGAAAGCCAAGGCAAAAAGGCTTGAAAGCGAAGAAGGCTAAGAAGGCTAGAAGGCAAAGATAAATACAATGCGAGTCTATTTATAGCCTTTAGATGAGAAAACTTCTGGAAGAATATTCACGTGATCGACTGGACTGGATTTGACCAATCAGCATGCAGCTAATAATACGAGAATTTTCTATCCTGTTCTCCAAGCTTCGATCAGGCGTTGATTGGATAGGAAATTAGCCAATCAGCGCGTAGTGACGTAATCATGCGTTAAATCCATCTATGTCCCACTAACATTTCTACAAACTTTTCCATGCTTTGATGTTTTTTTTCAATCAAACAAGACTGTCTATTCTGTATGTGTTTTTTTTTTCTATTTAAAAAAAAAAATAAAAACGTACACATAATTTATGAATTAGATATTACTTACTTCACAAATTTGTAATAAACTTATTCTATTCAATGGAAGATTTTGTAATTCTAAAAATGTTAAATTTTCTGTAAAATATGCACAATAACGTATTGCTCGGCATAAATTAAATAAAATTTTTGAACTTGATAATAAAACTGGTGGACGTCGTCGATTTAAGAAAACTACACCGCCTATATATGACAAATAATAATAATAATAATAATAATAATAATAATAATAATAATAGTAATAATAATGATTGTGAACCTATTGACCAATTAAAATGTAAGGCTAATCCAATTAGAATATCTGAGAATGATCCTGAAAATATTCATCTATTTATTGAGGGTTAAAAGCAAATTATAAATTAGTGTAATGAATTGAGAGTGAAAATTCAGAGTTATGAGTTGGAATTAGAAGTTGTAGTCATGGGTTTTCTTTTTATCACGAACTGTGGCGTCAAAACGTTTCACTTAACTATATTGATGATGAAAGAATTTTGTGCAACAGTCTAAAATTTGCTGTCCTAACTGTTATTGGTTCCGTTCATACATAGTAGTCTCGCCAATGTTCTATCTGCAGCGTGACGAGAATTTTGTTGGGGATGTTAGATCCCCAGAATTCGCTTGATAATGCCGTATTTTGATTTTCCCGTTTGCCAGCATGGGCTGATCAGTTGACCTTGAGATTTCATTTCCCATCAGGAAAATCTTTGGCTGTGATTGGCTGCTGTGTATTTTAGTGTGCTGTTTTCGTAACTGTCCCAAGGACGTTTCTATGACGTATAAATAAACGAGAGTTGTATGCTTGATTGTACTGTGATTGCTGGGTGTTTGTAGAATATACTTTCTACGCTTACAAAGCCTTTTATTTCGACTTTGGGTATTCAAGGTAGCCTACCTGGACGCTGGTAAAAGTCTCGTTCGCGTTTATCGACTAAGGAAGACTCGTAATAGCCTGAAGCATACTAAGTGACGAACCCAATAAATTTGCAAAGGAACAAGCTGCAATCCCACACTAGTATGACAAGATGAATAGCAGAAAAGATCGGTTGGTGGATAACAGTGGAATCTTGAGTGAATACTTCACCTTATTTGAGACTCGTTAGTTGTGTAAATCTGTATAACTCAGTGTGGATGGTCAAATCGAGACTATAATCTAGGGTGTTCAAATTCAGGTGTCCAAACCTGTTTTATCGAACTAACTACTGAGTTTGATTTAGCCATTGATTTGTGCAATAGAATGAATTTTGATTCATTTTTATTGGGCACATTCGAGTCTTCCCGTTGATTAACTGATTCATTTCAGTCTGTTACATCAGCGGAAGGATTCAAACAGTCTATGATGTGGTTAGCAAATGGGATTGAAATACAATACAATCAGAAAAATGAAAAATATCAAAGAGGAGATAATAGCAACTATTGAAATAAAATTTAAACATGAGATTAAAAAGCAATAAAGTCGCTGTTCAAGAGGAGCTAGCAAGTGAAAGTCTGCGAATCTAAGGGATAACATCGCTCAGTGTTGTTAGGTATGCATTATAACTATTAAGTCCCAGGTAAGAAGTCCAGATTCACCAATATACTCTCATTAACTGATCGCTGGTTTTCATCTATCTTCCACTCGCAAATCTTTTCATCATCTACTTACACTAAACACTGAAATAGATGGCGAATAAAGAATACTCACTAACTATCTTATCCATATAACTTTAGGTAACTAAAGTTTCGCCCAGATTCAATTAGCCTGATTTTTTATCCAATAGTAGCTTACGCATAATCTCGGTATAATTCATTTTTGAGAGTGATGTTTCAAGGATAGTTCTGGGAAAACTACTTTTGACTTACACACGTTCACTACTTTTATAGACTGTCTTACAAATGAAAGTCAAGTAAAGATGGACTGACTAATGCACAATGGATTCACTGCTTGAGAGTAAGTAAGACAAATACTTCATCGGAACAATTAAAACTTTTGAATGAAATGCGTTTCACTGAAATCGTTAATCGATCGATTAAGAACACCATTGAACAAGTATAAGTAATGCATGTCCGTTTCGTCTTGAATGACACTCACAAGCGTCTAAATCCCAGCCTAGTGGTCAGCAGGTGTAGCGTTTGAGTACGAGACTAAAAGTTATTGGTCGCGGAAACTCACCGCTAATGAATCTCATATTGTATTTTCCTGCATAAATCAACTCACTAATATTTTCTTCACAAAACCGCAATTTGAAAAAGAATCACTTATTTACAAAATCACTTTGTATGATAGTGTTCTACTATTTTGTTTTTTCATCAAAAGAAAATTTATTGAGGATAAAAATTGTATATCGGTACACTACCCTTAAGTGAGCTCTCACACAGTCTGAAAAATGAAAAGTTCGCTATTGAACAGAAAAAACGTGTCCTGACATGAGACAAAGAATAATAATTGGTTTTGAGTACATTTTCGTCAAACTAGGCTGCGTCCATTACTATCCTATGCCATATGGTGTATATACCATAAGCTACATTGCTCTGTAAAGCTGACTCGACCGTAGCTGCTACTTTGACAGCTGCTGGACAGGCTAGCCTATCGTGATCACCCAACCGAGCTAAATTGGCTGGAATATATGTTTCTGAAGGTTCTACCATGCCACGCAGTTCGATTGGAGAACCGTGAGACTAAAAGCAGCTACTCATGGACTGAGGGCGAAGTCGTACTGATGACTGCAGAGGCGTGTGACAGCAGTAAGGTGTTTCCCTCGGAAAACCAGCATCTGCAGCGATACTGCCTTCTCTCAAGGAAGAAAGGGTTAGAAAAGGTCGGCCCTAAAAATGTCACACCTCACTCTACCTCACGGATTTCCGTCTGAGGCAGTAAGGGCTACTCACTAAGGGCTTTTAAGAGCGGAGCTAGTTCTATAAAAACCTTCCATAAAAAGGCCGTGCATGACCGTCCTCAAGCAGTTGTTCCTTGAGACTGCGGTCGCGCTCCTAGATCTCTAAGACCAGCACTGATCTTACTTCCTTTTTAGGTTCCTCAAGAAACACTCTTTCACGGTGTGCGCAACCGGGAAGTGACATCCGCCCTCATACCTGTTACAGAATGAGAGACCGAATTTGTCACAAACGAATCCTTCCTATACCCCCTAACATCTCTATTCTCTCCACGACTAACTCTTCTCACATTCCTTTATTACCCCACACTTCTGCTGCAAACGATTCGAGTTCCCGAAACGTTATTCCTGGTCTCCTGAAACCCCATTCTAAACTGCATGTTGGAGCATCTATTGTCCGAACATTGTGTCAGTTAGGGCAACAGGCGTCATTAGCTAGGACTTTAGAATCTCTCGCTATTGATATATGCTGCGTCTCCGAAACGCGCATACAGGATCGTAGTAAAATCACCTATTTGGTTTCACCTAGTCAAACTCGATTTACTCTTCATGTATCTGGAAGCCCTGATACTGCTTCCAAGGGTCTCGCTGGCGTAGGTATAGCATTGAGTCGTAGGGCAGAACTAGCTCTCCTAGACTGGATCCCAGTAGACAGTCGCTTGTGAGCTGTCCAAATGAACAGGACAGTTCGGATTCGGAAAGATAGGGAAACACTCCGTTGCCTATTCGTCATATCTGCCTACGCTCCTACTGACTGCAGTTCAGACGAGGTAAAATATAAGGTTTACAGAAAGCTTTCGGACCTACTCCAAAAAGTTAGGCTTTTTGATACAGTAATAAAGGCTAGTGACTTCAATGCACAGGTAGATAGACTAAGTGAAAAGTAAAGACACCTGGGTAGATCTTATGGTGTCACGGCTGATCGAACAGACATTGGTGACCATCTGTTGCAACTGTGCTCAGATAACCAACTATTTCTACCAAACACTAACCTTAGGCACAAAAAAACATCTTTTGACCTGGCTACCCTCAAAATCGTCTCAACGTTGGACACAACAAGATCATATTGTCATCAGCCACCGATGGAGGGGTTCTGAGGCACATGTCTATATTCATATCATGCCCTAGTGCGAGTGCGTATTTGTCTGCAACTTACCGGCCGTAGGAAAGACACCGCAAGGAAACCTCTTAGGGTTTTACTTAATGATAATATAGCTAAGAATATGTTTCAGGAGCGACTAGAAAGACAGTTAGGCGACCATGTATGCGATTCCGATCGGGGGATGGTGAAAGCAAGAGTAATAGAAAAGGCAGTAGCGATGGGCAACAGCAGACAGTTGTTCTGCCTTATCAAGGAAATCGGTATTGGCAATCTAAATGTGAGTGAGACTATCTTGGAAAAGGATGGGGTTACTATTCATTCTCAGTCCAAGAGATTGGATCGATGGGCAGAACACTTTAGGGGTCAGTTCAACTGGCCTCCAGCCACTCTTCGGTTACCCACGGTCTCCAGTCATCCTGAATGGCAAGTCGACCTAAGCCCTCCGAACCATTATGAAGTTGAATAGGCTATAGGAAATCTGAAGCGACTGAGAGCAACAGGACCCGATAGATTGACTCCCGAGATTTGTAAGGATGGTGGTCCAGTTTTAGCAGCTAGATTGACCGAAATCGTAGGTAGAATCTGGAAACGACGTAATCCCATCTGACTGGTCCCAATTTATGAGAAAGGACGAATGTCTTCTTGTGACAATCACAGGGGAATAAGTCTAACTAATATAGTTTCTAAATTGTTAGCGTCAATTATACTTAGACGCTTAACTAGAGCTCGAGGAAAGCAGACTAGAGAAAACCAGGCTGGTTTCAGTCCCGGACGTGGCTGTATGGACCACATTTTCACACTACGACAGGTCCTGGAACACGGACACAAATTTAGGCATCCGACAATAGTTGTCTTCCTGGATCTAAAAGCGGTATTTGGCCCTGTGGATCGTGAGGTTCTATGGCTGTACCTGTCATTGAAAGGTGTGCCAAAGAAGTACATTAACCTTATACAAACTCTCCACTCGAACACTACAGGTCGAGTGAGAACTTATGTCAAACTGTCATAGGAATTCTATACCTCAAGTAGTGTTCGTCATGGATGTTCACTTTTCCTATTCTTAACTTTATCGTAGATATGCTTCTAGAGTTAACCTTATCATCGTCTAACTTTTCAGGAGAGGACCTTTTACCAAGAAACACGCTTCGTGACTTAGGGTATGCTTATGACATAGTCTTATTCTGTGAGGAAGCTGACGAGTCTTCTGACTAACTTCAGCAACAACGCAACCATGTTCGCGATGCCGTTTTCCCTCAAAATGCAAAATGTTGCTACAAGATTGGCTGGCGTCATCACCCAAACTAAATATAGGGAGTGAAGTAGTCGAGCGTGTAGACCGCTTCAGTTATCTTTCGAGTCCCATCAGTGCTGATGGCCTGATGACTAACAAAGTCTCAGCATGGATACAGAAAGCTTGACTGGCTTTTGCCAATCTGCGTCAATTATGGTGTAGGCAGTATATCCGTCTACCAACCAAAGGACGAGTCTACTGCGAAGTAGTTTGCTCCATCCTACTGTATGGGTATTAATCATGACTACTAAGAGTAGGGGATATTCATAGGGTATTAGTTTTGAATTATCGGTGTCTTCAATGCATGGCTCGTGTATCGTGGGACAACCGAGTAAGCAACGCTGTTGTTAGGTAACGAGTACTTAGGTAGGGATGGCTGATCAGTTGACGAAATATTGAAACTTCATCAGTTGACATGGTTGGGACATGTGTTACGAATGCCTGAACAACCGACTGCCTCGACGAGCTGGGTGTGGTGTAGGAGTAGGTTGGAAGAAAACTAGAGGCGGCCAGATCAAAACATGGCGCAAATCCATGAAGTCATTGACAGGTGAACTGAGCTAGGTGAGTAGGTGTGGGCTGTCTGATGTGGGTCCGTCAGATGATAGTAAACGACTGTTAGAGACCTTGAGTGACAGGGCTTAAAACCGTTTGAAATGGCGCAGGTGTATCTGTTCTTTGTGTTATCTCAAATTCTAATCCTCTGAATTCATCTCCTTTGTATTTCTCTCTTCAAGTGTATTTCACTAGATTATACTTCTTGAATAATATCTTCGATCCTTAATCTTTCCGCTTACTCCTAATACTTCTACTATCGCTACAACTATGGGATTTGAACTAACAGTTGCTTCTCTGTGCTGATGGGATATGATATCCTGAACTGATGTACGTACGTACGAAGTTATGCATTGTAGCTATCTGTCTGACTGTCTATATAAAGACGAAGATCTATTATGAGACCAGAGGTTCTTTGTGAGTATTGAGGATAGTTTGGCAAGTTTTGCTAATAGTTCTTACACATATATGGTTTGCCAGGCAACTGACTTCATCGATACTGGTGGTCGTCTTTAAATATTACCGAAGTCTATTGTCACTGGGACGCTGTAATGCATATCACCATTGCTTAACATAATGAGTTTGACAGTCATGTAATTAGGATGTCAAAGTGACCCGTTCATGCTGTTTATATTGATTGACACGATCATGGCTCGGGAATAATCACTATACGTATCAATGTATATAAATCGTGTGAATGACGCAACGGGGTTTCAGGTATCTGTGGGGAGGTTGTGCCTAAGGACTGAGCTGTACTGATCAATACGTCAACAGCATCTCAATGATTAATTCAAAGTTTGCAACACTTAATGGAAGCAATGAGATCAAATAATTCAGTTATGTAAGTACACAAAAAATTCGTCGAGTACGTACTGTAAATTACACAGTAAAATATTAGTTACCTTTTAAGTACCAAAATTCATTTAGTGAACAACGTGAGTGCGTGTAAAAAAAGCTGATAACCAGTTTGATAGTACCAAATATGAAAATAAATTTAGAGCTAACACAAAATAGAGCGATATAATGCCAACAATTCGGTCCAAAAACAGACGCTCACCTGAGTTACTGAAGTTTCTAACTGCAATAAAATTGAGATTTTTGTTAACCTTAATTGCATCGATAACTGGGTCCCAATCTTGAATTCTTTGAAAAGGTGAGCATTTTTATGATAAGTCTTACTTTATTCTGTCTGCACATATGTCAAGAAAGCCATTACTAACGTGGTTTGTGATTGCAGAAAGTGGAGCGCAACTTCTCAAAGCGCATAGGTCTTCATAATATTTTTTGAAATCATAAGAGCCAGCTTGACGTTCTTTTACAGTTGGTATCATCAAAATGAGCAACAAGTTAATAGAATCTCAGACGGTTTTGCAGCTTTGTATGCCCGTATGCCTTTTAAGCCTTAGGATGTGTTTTTCAAAGGATTTTAGTTAAAAATATAAGAAAATTTAAGAGGATAGACGAAAAAGCAGAGGCTGTGAACGAGCGACTCATAAATAAGGACTCTTATGTATGTACAAATGTATAATGCAAGCGAAATCGGACTAAGGCTGCAGCATTCGGAAACAATAATTTCAAATTATGTACAGTTTACTTTTTTCAATAAAAGAGCTCAAAATTGCTATGCGACTGTCCAATATCCGATTGAACGTCTTTTTCACGAGCTAGTATCTGATTTGGCATTTTCAATATGGCGTACGCCATAATCAGATCGCCTCTGACTCTAAGACCAAGAAAGAATAATCCCAAGTATTGTAGTCTACCTTCGTAGGGTTTACTCTTAAGCACTATCACCTATCTCGTTGCTGATCTCTGCACTCGATCCAAGGTATTTGTGTCTCTTTAGAGGAAAGGGTTATATCTCAAATTGTGGGTGAGTGTATATCTTCAACGACGTCAGGAATGATTCTGAGGTGATTGTACATATCAGTCTTTGCATAGACTGAAGAGTTGCATTAGCTTTCACTGCTTCACTTATGTAATTCAAGGCTTTATGTGGTTATTAAATCAACATTTCTCTCAGAGGATAAATAAGGTAGCTGTACGTTTATGATGTGATATTTCGATAGGTTTAGTTTAAACTCGTTTTCACTGCAGGTTCCTCAATAAATGTAAGGTTCTTTTGAAGCTGACTTGGATTTCCTTCGCTTCTTATGGACTTTCAGATCTTTGCATCATTTATGTAGACCGATGCCGCCGAACTAATTTTGTCCAACAGATAATTAATGAATATCAGGAAGAAGAGTTGACCTAATATTGTCCCATGTTGAGGCTCATAAGCTCATATGCACTCAGTTTACCAGCACATGAAACTTTTTACGCTCAAGGTAGTTTCTGAGTCAAGATAGAAGTGGGTCAATCAAGCCTACCTTCGCAACCTTTGCACTTATTCGTTCGTGAAGTAGTGTGTCAGAAGATTTTGCATACTCAAGAAACAACATGTGAACCGGCATTTTTCGGTCACGGCAGGTGGTCCAGCTGCCCCATGCTGAATGTACTAGGATAGAGTAGTTCTCTAAACATGTAGGTACCTGATTTAAATGATAAGTGAAGTTAGTGCTGAAGATCTCAGCCATCTGTAGGTTGATAAGATCTTAGTATTGGACTAGGATTAAGTCGAAGATTCTTCAAGGCATCAACTCTCATTTGGTTTGAGTGGTACCCTATATTTGTAAGTACTTGGCACGGAGACTCGATGGCCGTGTGATATGGGGGACGAGGCAGTCGGGAGATGCTAATTGCCATCATTGTATGGAGGTCTACGCTACGCGATGATCATCGTCATTGTGACATATCGCCTGAATTAGCTTCATCCAAGCTACCACCAACGAGTTCAGACAATCCGTGAACAACCATACTGGCCTGTTCTTGGGTGTCAGTTGATGTCCCGGCAACTACCTGTACTGATCATGTTTTGTCATACCTGCCTCGGTTTGCGGAGGACAGTGTAGGATTTAATTTGTCCTACTGATGTAATTCTACAACAGTAAACGCAATACTGACGAGCACAGAGTCAGGGGTAAAGCTATAGTTAGTAAAAGACAACTTGGTTTTAAACATTATCTGTTTCTAGACAAAAAAACGATTAACTTAGTACAATAAATAAGGAAATTACAATTATCAAGTAAGACGAGCAAACTTACCTACCAGTATAGCGTGTCTTTAGAAAATGAATAAAAACATGAGTCACATCAATATAATAAAATAATAACGTCCTTCAATCAATAGGTCATTTACAACAATGAAGGTTTACAGACCGGTCAGACTAGATGACGTGGTAAGCGCTTAACCAATCTGAATGGTTAGTTATGGCATAACTAAAATTAGTTATAAAATAACTAACACTCCCCCCGAAGCGGTCACCACGTCCAGACCTCGTTACGGTAGCGTTCAAGTAGTCGGCTTCTTCTAGTAAACATAGGCTCCGTATATCCCGGGTGATTTATTCGGTTGCTCTCTTTAGTCGCACTGTTCTGACTTGTCCATCATAATTGACCTCTCTAACTATAGCTTTCACCCACAGATTTCTCAGCAAGCCAGTATTGTTTACTAACAGTGAGTCTCCATGTTGTGGATTCCTTCTCATTGACTTTATGATATGTTTCCCTATACTCCGATCCGGGATCAAAGATTAATGCTATAAACGACAAAATATTCCTTCTGGTTAGGTTTCCAGGAAACTCATTAACTCTGAAAAATGATTGATCTGCTCGGGTATTCTGCTCAACTCCCAGCGTTCGTTTACCCATCTCATGGGGTCCGCATAGAGTAATGTTTCCTTCTTTTATTTCATCACTTTTCTGGCAAGATGAAATCGACGATACCGGTGGGGATGCTACTGTAGCTTCCGCTGTATAATTTTCGGTTCCTATATAATTATGTTTTGAATTAAGACCACGCCTGTTCTGATGGTTTGACCTAATGGTGGATGTTCGACTCAAAACAGATACAGAAATGTCGAATCAATATGGACATGTGTCGTTCTCTTCGATAGCTTTTCTCTTCAATTGACGACGTCTTCGACAAACTTCGTGAAACTGAAAAACACTCATGTCATAAACCATTCCATAAAATAATGTTGGAAGAAGAGTCTTTTTGTCTTCTAAGGCAGAGTAACCACTTGTACTTACACGAGTAAGACATGACCGATAGCGATGTGTTTCAGGATCCGAAGTGCGGTCTAATGACTTGCTTTCTGACACAGTTGTCCTTATTCTTTTAGCCTGAGATATTACCGATGCAGAATCATTGCTGCTACTACGCAGATCGGCAAAAGCCAGTCAAGCTTTCTGTATCCATGCTGAGACTTTGTTAGTCATCAGGGCATCAGCACTGATGGGACTCGAAAGATAATTGAAGCGGTCTACACGCTCGACTACTTCACCCCCTATCACTTACTCCAGCGTCAATACAACCGAATCCTGTATTGACATTTTGCATTTCGACGGAGAAACCTCTACTACTGTGCACACTAATCAACAGGCTGCGAGGTAATCTGAAAAGGATTTTATACGAGATATAAGTTTTGGAGGAGGAAAGTAACATTACTAAACATAGTTAATTTATGCTACGCAAAAATAGAAGCATAAGGAGACTCAAAATTTCAACAATGCCTTTGACCGTTCTAACAAATGACTTCGTGTGGATCTGATAACCTTTCCGCAATTCCTGTGTTTGAAAGTGACTGAATGTGTGTATTCTGCCACTGAGAAGAAAGCAGTTGATTAAGATACCTAGACCTACCGCACAAGGGGCTCCGCTTTAGTATGATTTGTTGATCTGACTGTTTTTGAATGTAAGAAGACAAAGTTTACATAAACTAATTTTCCTGTCTGACATCGAAAACTAGATTTGTTTCTTAATAACAGTCAGAAGTTACCAAGCACACGTCAGTTTCTGATAAATTGTCGTCTACTTGTCTACTTCTGTCAATGATCAACAAATGAAAAAATTAACGTTTCCAAAACTTCACATATTAGTTGATTACCGTCTCGGCTGGTTGCGCTGAACTTTCAAGAGAAACCGAAATATTTGCACCACGAAATGCATTTTCTGGTAAGATAACAACAAAATATACACTGTGACAATAGGCTTCGCTACCTTTAATAGGTTTTTGTTGCACTTGAAGCCATAAGTTTGATTATACTCCTGCAATGTATGGGAAAACAATGCCATGATTAGTATGAAAGATCTAGGTGCAATATTAGCAGGCATAGAAGCAAAGCTCAAATAGTCTCTTGGTGGCTGCGTTAAACTTCATGAATGGCCCATCGCCTTCGTGGCCCGTGATCTGAATTTATTTATGAATGATCGAGTATGCCATGAAATAAATCTCCCCTTCAATATTTGTATATCAAACGTAGGCCAACCCCGTTTGTGCGACAATGGTAAGAGGAAACCGAAAACGGTTTTTTTGTAGATGAAACGATCTCATGCTTTTTTGCAGAAAGACGTGGGAACAAAAGGCGTACGAGCAAAGCATATAGAAATGGAGAAGAAAAGTGAGCTAACTAAATGCAGACAGGTGTGACTAGGTATTTATATTCAGACAAAATAAGCCGAACGTGTGATAAGCAAAGTATGCACATCCACACCTGAATCAAGCCAAACAAGGTATAAGCGGATAATATACGAGATTGAAAGTCATGTTCAGAACTCAAGAAAAATGGACTATTTAGTTTTTCCGAAGGCTTTGAACAAACCCTGTGAAAACTGAGATGATATATGTGTGATTGACATATCTTTGCACACTGTACACTCTGTTCCTAATAATAATCAAGTGTACTCTGTTCTAGTATTATTTGCTTCCCCAAGTTAAGGTTATGTTAGGCGAGTTGCGAAAGTGAACCTACGGAGTCTAACCATGCTCTGATGAGTTACGTGAAGAACCCCATGAAATAAAAGTAAGTTAATAACAATCATAAATTATTGTCAAATAAAAACCTGTTACAAGAGGCATACCAATACACTGGCATGATCAAAATGTTAAGATTGCTAACATATTTCTTGTAAAATGTTGTTCAGTTACTCAAATATTTCACAAGATACGTTGGTTTCATATAGATGGCTAAAAGTTTTCACATACAACTATAGATAATTTTCCAAACTCTGCAATGTATAATGAGAATAATTGGCGCGAGTTGCAACAGTTACATTACGACGAACTGCTAATGACTGCGAAACAATGTAAGGTAGAGCCAGGTGTGCATACAACAAGAATTGGTGAGGTAAATGTGCAAACATCTTGATGAGATTCATTGGACAATAAGTTTAAGGAATCCTAGGAAAAGTAACCAAGTGTTCCGCAATTATTCAGACTAGTATTCAAGGATTAGAATTAGATGCTGAAAAAGGAGGAATAAAGGGAAAGTGGTGAGGAGCGGAACAGAAATTATTCTTGTTTAAGGCCGAACAAAGACTCGGCAGATAATATCTTTGGACAAAAAATATGTATAGGAACTCACACCTTTCTTTTTCTGTATTAGTACTTTAACTGTCCACCCGCAATTATGTAGGTTAGTGAAGAAGAGTTATAATAATAATAATATTTATTCTCAAATAACTACGTTACAGGAGGCATGCCAGTTTACAGGCTAGATCAAATTG